GATGTTAACATTAGGGAAAAACAGATGAAAGGTATGTGGGAACTCTGAATTATCTTGGCAAGTTTCCTATAAATCTAAAATAAAGAGTTTATTTTTAATGGGCAAAAATATTTTAACTGATACTACCTTTTTTTTTTCTTTTTTTTTTTTTTGAGACAGAGTCTCACTCTGTTGCCCAGGCTGCAGTACAGTGGCACAATCTCAGCTCGCTGCAACCTCTGCCTTCTGTATTTAAGCGATTCCCCTTCCTCAGCCTCCCAAGTAGCTGGGACTATAGGCACATGCTACCACACCCAGCTAATGTTTTGTATTTTAGTAGAGATGGGGTTTCACCCTATTGGCCAGGCTGGTCTCGAACTCCTGACCTAGAGATTCACCCGCCTCAGCCTCCCAAAGTCCTAGGATTACAAGTGTGAGTCACCGCACCTGGCCCTGAAATGATACTTAAAAGATGCATGCTTATCCAACAGGATATGAAAAATGCTCATCATAGAAATACAATTTAGAACAAAAAGAGAAAATACTACATAACTGCTACAATAGCTAAAATGTAAAAAGACTGACCTCTTAAATAAAATGGACAAATCCTTGAAAGCCACAGCTACCAAAGTTCACTCAAAAGGTAAGTCATGAAAGAAGTTGAATTTCCAGTTCAAAAACCTCACAAAAAAACCTTCAGGCCCAGATGGCATCAATGTAAATTCTACCTAACATTTAAGAAATAATTCCAATTCTGTACATATTCTTCCTGAAAACAAAACTGTGTTTTGAAAGGAAAAAGGAAAAAGGAAAAAGGAAAGGAAAGGAAAGGGGAAAATGGGGAAAACGGGGAAAGGGGAAAAAGAGAAGGGAAGGGAAGGGAAGGGAAGGGAGGGGAGGGGAGGGGAGGGGAGGGGAAGGGAGAGGGGAGGGGAAGGGAGAGGGGAGGGGAGGGGAGGGGAGGGGAGGGGAGGGGAGGGGAAGGGAGAGGGGAGGGGAAGGGAGAGGGGAGGGGAGGGGAGGGGAGGGGAGGGGAGGGGAGGGGAAGGGAGAGGGGAGGGGAGGGGAGGGGAAGGGAGAGGGGAGGGGAGGGGAGGGGAGGGGAGGGGAGGGGAGGGGAAGGGAGAGGGGAGGGGAAGGGAGAGGGGAGGGGAAGGGAGAGGGGAGGGGGAGGGGAGGGGAGGGGAGGGGAGGGGAGGGGAGGGGAGGGGAGGGGAGGGAAGGGGAAAGGGGAAAGGAAATGGGAAAGGGGAAAGGAAAGGGGAAAGGGGAAAGGAAAGGAAAGGAAAAAGGAAAGGAAAGGAAAGGAAAGGGGAAAGGGGAAAGGGGAAAGGGGAAAGGAAATGGGAAAGGGGAAAGGAAAGGGGAAAGGGGAAAGGGGAAAGGGGAAAGGGGAAAGGGGAAAGGGGGAAGGGGAAAGGGGAAAGGGGAAAGGGGAAAGGGGAAAGGGGAAAGGGGAAAGGGGAAATGGGAAGGGGGAAAGGGGAAAGGGGAAAGGGGAAAGGGGAAAGGGGAAAGGAAAGGGGAAAGGGGAAAGGAAAGGGGAAAGGGGAAAGGGGAAAGGGGAAAGGGGAAAGGGGAAAGGGGAAAGGGGAAAGGGGAAAGGGGAAAGGGGAAAGGGGAAAGGGGAAAGGGGAAAGGGGAAAGGAAAGGGGAAAGGGGAAAGGAAAGGGGAAAGGGGAAAGGAAAGGGAAGGGGAAAGGAAAGGGAAGGGGAAAGGAAAGGGAGGGGGAAAGGAAAGGGAAGGGGAAAGGAAAGGGAAGGGGAAAGGAAAGGAAAGGGGAAAGGGGAAAGGGGAACGGGGAAAGGAAAGGGGAAAGGGGAAAGGAAAGGGGAAAGGAAAGGGAAGGGGAAAGGAAAGGGAAGGGGAAAGGAAAGGGAAGGGGAAAGGAAAGGCAAGGGGAAAGGAAAGGCAAGGGGAAAGGAAAGGCAAGGGGAAAGGAAGGCAAGGGGAAAGGAAAGGCAAGGGGAAAGGAAAGGCAAGGGGAAAGGAAAGGCAAGGGGAAAGGAAAGGCAAGGGGAAAGGAAAGGCAAGGGGAAAGGAAAGGGAAGGGGAAAGGAAAGGGAAGGGGAAAGGGGAAAGGAAAGGAAAGGGGAAAGGGGAAAGGGGAAAGGAAAGGGAAGGGGAAAGGGGAAAGGAAAGGAAAGGGGAAAGGGGAAAGGGGAAAGGAAAGGGGAAAGGAAAGGAAAAAGGGGAGGGGAAAGGAAAGGGGAAAGGAAAGGAAAAAGGGGAGGGGAAAGGAAAGGAAAAAGGGGAGGGGAGGGGAGGGGAAAGGAAAGGGGAAAGGAAAGGAAAAAGGGGAGGGGAGGGGAGGGGAAAGGAAGGGGGAAAGGAAAGGAAAAAGGGGAGGGGAGGGGAGGGGAGGGGAGGGGAGGGGAGATGAAAGAAAGAAAACAAACTACAGATCAATATTCTTTATAAATATATGTGCACGATTCCTTTAAACTATTTTCACAAATTAAATCCAGTAATATGTATTAAAAAGTAATTCACCATGAGCAGGAGGGCTTTCCCCAGGAATGCAAAATTGAGTTAACATTCAAAAAATCAACCTATGTTTTTTACCATAACAGAAGAGAAAAAGCATACATTCATTGAAACAGATACAGAAAAGGCATTTGACAAAATCTAAAACACAAACTGTACATGGTGGTACATGTCTATAATACCAGTTACTCAGGAGGCTCAGGTGAGAGGACAACTTAAGGCCAGGATTTCAAGAGCAGCCCGGGCAACAGAGTGAAATTTCACCTCAAAACAAAAAAATTCAACAGCAGAAATTTCACAACAAATGTAATTAAATGTCAGGCATTCATGTTATGTGAGAAGATGGCAAATTTTTGAAAGTCGCCAGCATGAACCCAATTTCTTGTCATACAGTTAGTCTCAGAAGGTAATCCGATTTCCTTCAACATCAAATATGCCTTCTTGCTGCATTGTTACTCAGGTTAAAATGAAAATGATTTCTAAATGCGGGAAATGGATGGGCTGGAATACAATGGCCAGGGCCAATTTGAAAAGTAAATGAGAAAAAAGACAAATAGTAAAGTTTTCTAATATGCTACAGGTAAAACTTAAGGTGACTAATGAACATGCAGATGGTATTATTCTCTGAAAGGAAACAAGTAAACTGAATTCTCTGTCTCTATTGTCAAATTATTGTGAGAAAGTTGTTTCCTTTCTTTAAGCTTCATTTTCCTGTCCTATTATAAGAGGACATTAAGCTAGATTCATTTTTAAATTCAACAAATACTTACTGAGCACCTACTATGTGGCAAACACTTTTGTAGATGCTGGAAATATACCAATGCTAAAAAAAAAAAAAAAGATAAAAACCCCTTGCCTTATAAAGTTTAAAGAGATAGAAAAATATGTAAAATATATACCATGGCAAATGATAATGAATATTGTAGAGAACAGTAAAGCAGGAAAGGGGACAGAACATACTGAGGGGGCTGTAGTTTTAAATGGGGTTATTAGAGAACAAGAGGATTTCTAGGTTCACATTCAGTTCAAAAATCCAATGATTTTCTTCTGTTGATGAGGCAGCATAATAACATACAGTGAACCTCTGAACTTGACCTCTTTAAACTCACGCATTCTATTACTTTGCTCTGTGTCACCACTTACATTTTTTTAAAAAACAGGATTAAAAATACATTTTTCCACACTGAGATAAAGTACATGCTGTCATTTAATGAAACAAGTAATTTCTCAGTCTTGCCTTCAGAGAGGAAAATAAAAATAAAACCTAGCAATTTTTCCCAAAGGTTCTAAAGATCTAGTATTTTTATACACTATAGAAAGAATTAAAATTAGTGATTTTTTTCCTCCTTTTCAATAAATTGATGGTTTAAAATTTAGTCCTTTATTGGGTCTAAGTTACAAAAAGAGGCGGTTTAATAGTACCTTTGAAATGGAAGACGTTTCTATAGACAAGGAAAGTCACATGAATAATAAGAATTACTACTATGGTTACTGTAGCTACCATATTTTGTATGCTTGCTACGTGCCAGGTAGCTGTTATATATTAGGTTGAACTATATGAATCTGCCACTTATAGGTCAAAATCAGCAACTGTATACAGTTTGAACTGATATATTAATTTCAAATTCCATGAGAGAAAAGTTTCTGTGAGATTACATGCATTGCTGCTTTTCTATACTTCCACTACATGATTATCTTGGGCAAACCTTCAAGGCAACAAAAAGCTTTTGTTTTGTGATGTAAAGGCCCTCTGCTAAGCTGAGAAAGCTGTAAATGACAACAGGAAGATGCTGCCTATCTGTGATGAGTTCACACAAACAAATACTCAAATAATCTTAACTAGAATTTAATTTGAAGATCTAAATTTTATTTTAAGTCTAAGCCACAGAGCGAAGTTCCTCAAAAGCTATTCATTCCAAAGTGGCTTAAAAAAAAGCTCAATTTATTAGCCATATCCACTATTGTACTTACAAAAACACAATATTCATTACAAAAATAGACATTTTTTCTGCTCCACTAGGAAGAGTATAAAACAACGCAAAATTACACTAAATCTCAAATCTGTCCATTTGGGTTAGGATTTTTATTTCTTTGGAAATGCCTCCTTAATAGAGTATTTCCCAAAAGGGATCAAACCAGTCTATTTTGCTCAATCCAAATACTTTTTAAAGTCATCTTTCAAAAGTAGATTAGCTCCCATAGTTTATTTTTTCTCCTCCTGGCAGCTATTTTTCATTCACTATATAGTTCATGTTTAGAGTTCACATTAATAAAACTGCCTTTTAATTATCTTCTAAGTAATTCTATGTACTATAAAGTTTCATCTAGCAGAATAAAGCAGGCACTTTGTGTGTTACAATATTAGTAGATGGAAAAGTTTATTTCCAACATTTAAATGCCAACAGAACTCTCAGTGAAACATTAAGAAGATAATAACAACTCTCTAAAGGGTTTTCAAAATTAATCCTAGAAGAATACTATATTATCCTTTAGAAAACAAGAAGTGTAAACAGGTAAATACATAAAAACCTACCAGCTCATTGTTTGTTGATGTCAGTCGTAGTTTTTCTTCAATTTCCTTTCCAATTTTCTGAACAGTTACCTGAGTCTGTTTAATTGCACACTGGGCTCTATGAAGCCTAGAAATATAAGTTATAGAAAAATGTAAATGAGTTAACAGTAAATTCAACAAAGAGCCTCAGATATAAATACAAACCTTGAGGATACATAGAATTAACAATGAACTCAATTGATTTTCAATTCTCTAGCATAGTCACAATAAAATAATAGGAAATATGGCCAGGCGCGGTTGCTCACGCCTGTAATCCCAGCACTTTGGGAGGCTGAGGCGGGTAGATCATGAGATCACGAGATCAAGACCATCCTGGTCAACATGGTGAAACCCCGTCTCTACTAAAAATACAAAAAACTAGCGGGGATCGCGCCATTGCACTCCAGCCTGGGTAACAAGAGCAAAACTCCGTCTCAAATAAAATAAAATAATAGGAAATACAATAAATCCTAAAACTAAAACTCTAAAACACCCTTTTTGTACCTGCCTGCCTGCCCCTGATGTACTGTGAGGTAAGATGAAGAGCTCAAACAAGTCTGAAAGAGCCCTGAGAAAATAATATGGTAAAATACTATCATTTTATAGATGTGGAAACTGAGGCACAATGAAATTAAGTGGATTGCTAAAGTCACCGAGAGAGTATCACTGCTATCAAAGGTGACAATTACTTCTAGGTATCCATAAAGAAAAAAAGAATTCACAGCAATTCCAGTTAAGAAGGTTGAATCAAAGCAGAGGGCACTCTCAAAGAGATAAGAAAAAACAAAAAGATGGTAGAAAAGACAAAGTAATGGGAGGGATGGCATACTTGACCAGATTCAAACTAGCAACTATATTCTCAGTAAAGTCTCTTTTAAGTAACATAAAGAGCTATTTTTATTTTTAAATTGTGGGTTGTGTGTGTGTGTGTTTTTGCTTTTTGGTGTCCTTATTTTAATTTTAATTTTATTTTATAGACAGGGTCTCACTCAGTCGCCCAGGCTGTAGTACAGTGGCACAATCCCAGCTCACGGCAGCCTTGACCTCCCAGGCTCAAGTGATCTTCCTACCTCAGCCCCCAAAATAGCTGAGACTACAGTCATACACCACCACGCCTGGCTAATTTTTGTATTTTTTGTGGAGATGGGGTTTCACCATGTTGCCCAGGCTGGTCTCAAACTCCTGTACTCAAGCAATCCACCTGCCTCGGCCTCCCAAAATACTAGGATTGTAGCACTATGCCTGGCCTCTTTATCTTTAAATATAGCTTATGTATGTCTTAGACATTTCCATACCAAATGGTCAAGCTGTCTTTATTTGTAGATGACAACTGTCAGGTGAAAAATCATGAGATTTTGCCATAAATCTACAAAAAAAATTGTGAGAAATCTACAAAACAACTACTAAAATTAATAAGTTAATTTAGGAAGGTCATGGGATATAAGGTCAATATACAAAAAAAATCAGTTATATTTCTGCATGTAGGCATACGTCACTTTACTGCACTTCGCTTTATTATGCTTCATAGATACTAATTAAAAAAAAAATTAAAGGTTTGTGGCAACCCTGATTCAACTGGAGTTATTTTTCCAACAGCATGTGCTCACTTTGTGTGTCTCTGTCACATTTTGGTAATTCTCACAATATCTCAAACTTTATCATTATTATTCTATCTGTTATGGTGCTCTGTGATCAGTGATCTTTGGTGCTGCTATTATAATTATTTTTGAGCACCATGAGCTGCACCAATATAAGATAGTGAACTTTATCGATAAATGTGTGTGTTATGACTGCTCCACTGATTGGCCATTTCTAGTCTCTCTTCCCCTCCTTAGGCCTCCAAATTCCCTGAGACACAACAATATTGACATTAGGCCAAGCCTTACAATGGTCTCTTAAGTGTTCAAGTGAAAAGAATAGTCCTTCATCTCTCACTTTAAATCAAAAGCTAGAAATGACAAAGCTTAGTAAGGAAGGCATGTGAAAAGCCAAGTAAGCCAAAAGCTAGGCCTCTTGCATGAAACAGCCAAGTTGAGAATGCAAAGGAAAAGTTCTTGAAGGAAATTTAAAGTGCTAGTCCAGTGAACACATGAATGATAAGAAAGTAAAAGAGTCTTATTGCTGATATGAAGAGTTTTACTGGTCTGGATAGAAGATCAAACCAGCCACAACATTCTCTTAAGCCCAAATCTAATCCAGAGTAAGGCCCTAACTCTCTTCAAATCTTTGGCATCTGAGAGGCAAGGAAGCTGCAGAAGAAAAGCTGGAAGACAGCAGAAATTGGTTTATGATGTTTAAGGAAAGAAGCCATCTCTAGAACATAGACTTGCAAGATGAAGCAGGAAATGCTAATGGAGAAGCTGCAGCAAGTTATTCAGAAGCTCTAGGTAAGATCATCAATGAAGGTAGTTTATACTAAACAACAGATTTTCAACATAGATGAAACAGTCTTGTGTTAAAAGATGCCATCTAGGACTTTCACAGATAGAGAAGAGAAGTCAATGCCTTGCTTCAAAGCTTCAAAGGACGGGCTGACTCTCTTATTAGGGGTTAATGCACCTGCTAATTTTAAGTTGAAGCTAATGCTCATTTACAATCCCGAAGATCCTGGGGCCCTTAAGAATTATGCTAATTCGACTCTGCCTGTGTTCTATAAATGGAACGTCAAAGTATGGATGATAACACATCTGTTTTCAGCATGGTTTTCTAAATATTTTAGGCCCACTCTTGAGACCTACTGCTTAGAAAAAGGATTTCTTTCAAAACATTACTGTTTATTGGCGATGCACCTAGTCATCCAAGAGTGCTGATGGGCATGTACAAGGAGATTAATGCTTTCATGTCTGTGAACACATAATCCATTCTGTAGCCCATGGATGAAGGAGTCATTTCATCTTTCAAGTTTTATTATTTAAGAAATACATTTCATAAAGCTAGAGTTGCCATAGATATTGATTCTTCCAGTGGATCTGAGCAAAATCAATTGAAAACATTCTGGAAAGGATTCACCATTCTGAATGCCATCCAGAACATTCATGATCCATGGGAGTAGGTCAAAATATTAACAATAACAGGAGTCTGGGAGAAGCCAATTCCAACCCTCATGGATAACATTGAGGAGTGCAAGATTCAATGGAGGAAGTAATTGCAGACGTGGTTTTAATAGCAAGAGAATTAAAATTATAAGTGGAGCCTGAATATGTGACTGAATAGCTGTCAACTCATGATCAAACTGTATTGGATGAAGAGTTGTATTTTATAGATGAGCAAGAAAAGTGGTTTCTTGAGATAGAATCTACTCCTGGCATTGAAGCTATAAACATTGTTGAAATGACAATTAAAAAATTATACTATCCTAAACCTGGTTGATAAAACAGTGGCAAGGTTTGAAGGAAAAGACTGACTCCAATTTTGAAGGCAGTTCTACTGTGGGTAAAATGTTGTCAAACAGCATCGCATGAGACAGGGAATCATTCATGAAAGAAGAGTCTGTTGATATGTCAAACTTCATGTTGTTTTATTTTAAGAAGTTGTCACAGTCACTCCAACTTTGAGTAACTACCACCCTGATCAGCCATCGACATGGAGGCAAAACCCTCCACCAGCAAAAAGATATGGCTTGCTAAAGGTTGAGATGATCAAATAAAGTATGTTTTAATTAAGGTATGTGCATCGTTCTTAGACATAATGCTATTTCACACTTAACAGACTACAGCACATTGTAAACATAACTTTTATGTGTTAGCCCCAAACAATTGAGATACAAAATTTTTAAATATTTTAATGATAGCATCAAAAAAAAAATACTTCAGGATGAAATAAACAAAAATGTGCAAGATCCAACCCCGAAGTCACAAAACACTGCTATGATAAAGAAGAACTAGTAAGTAAAAAAAAAATACATGTACATGGACTGGAAGATTCCATATTGTTAAAATGTCAGCTTTTCCCAAATGGGTAAATAATTTGAGACTCCCAATCACAGCCCCAAAGGCTTTTGTTTTTTGTAGAAATTACTAAGCTGATACTGCAATTTATATAGAAAAAGCAAATGATCTAGAAATGACAAGCCAATCTTGAAATATGCCAGATTTCAAATGTTTCTATTAAGTTACATAATTAAGACAATATGGTATGGTCATGGGAATTTAAAAAAATGGAACAGAATAAAATGTGCCATAAATAGTCCTACACATATATAGCAAATTAATGTTTGACAAAGTAGTCAAGGCAAATCAATGCAGAAAACAACATTTTTTTAAACAAAGGTGCTATGGAACATTGAATAAGACTAGAAAAACAAAATCAATCTCATCCCCTACTTCCTATAAACAAAAAATTAATTTGAGGATCACAGTAAATATAAAAGATGAAATCATAATACTTATTGCAGAAAATATAGGACCATCTCTTGCAACCTTGGGGTAGACAAATATTCACTACAGAAGACACAAAAAGAATTAATCACAAAGTTAAAAATAACTAGACTTTACCAAAATGAGAACCACCTGTTAATGTTAACAAAGGTGCTATTAGGAAAATAAAAAAGCAGTCCACAGACTGGGAGAAATATTTGTAAAGCACCTATCTGACTATAAAGAATTCTTACAAATCAGTAATCAAGACAGCCAATTACAAATGTACAAAAGAGAGAAATAAACACTCCACAAAAGAAGATATGGCCAATAACCACAGGAAAAGTCACTGAAAGTCATAGTCATCAGGGAAATGTAAATTAAAATCATAATGAGGTGCCATTTCACACCTGGTAGAATAGATAATATTAAAACGACAACACCAAATGCTGTCAAGGATGTGGAACAACTAAAACTTGCACACATTGCTGGCAAAAATGTATTGAGCTGGTGCAAAAGTAACTGTGGTTCTTGCAATTATTTTAAGTTGCAAGAACCACAATTACTTTTGCACCAGCCTAATAAAATAATAGTCCCATTTTTTAGAAATTATTAAGTTAAACATACATTTAACCTATAGCCCAGCAATTCTACTCCTAGGTGTTTACCTAAGAAGAATAAAAACATTATTATCTACAAGAAGCTTTGTATAAGAATGTTCACAGAAAACAAC